TTGTACAGATCTCTCATAGCCGCCGCCGAAGCTAAAAACAGAGGAAGTGCCTATCCTAAAGCTAGTGGTTACCGAGTAAGTGAGGGAGGGGGGGGGGTGTGGTGAGGCTAGATTTGGCGCCATCCTGTCTCATCCAATTTCCAACTCCCACCATCCCCACACAATTTGAGCCAGGCTCTGAGCTGCTTTAAGATTCGTGCAAATACTTTATTTGCAATCAAACACGTTTCTAACCCAAACTCGATTTGGTTGGAGATAATACGAACAACCAAACACAGCCTAAAAGAACATAGCTGGGAAGACCTGTTAACCCGCCACGCCACTCACCACCCCGTGGCCATCCCACTCACCCTCGCCTCGCCGCCTCCCGGTACTGCCCTCGCCTCGCCTCCCAGCACTAGGCGGAAATCCCCCCGAGCTCCAGATGTTTCTAGAAGGTTCGAGAGGAGGGTGCCGTCTCGAGATGTCCCCGGGCTCCGCCTCCGCGGCCCCTCCCGTCGGCGCGCGCTGCGCCGTGTGCCGCGGCGTCGACTTATCCGTCCCCCACCAGGCCAACTGCTCCCACTGGTTCTGCGGTAACCACCAGCTCGCCTTTCCCCTCCTACCCCTCCGCCCGCCAGGTATGTCTCACCGGCCGCGTCCGCGCCTGGGCTGCTCCGTGCGCCGCCGCGCCCGCGCGCGCTCGATTTGGCTCCTCGATTTCGCATCGGCGGCGTATATGCTTCGTCGCGATGCGGGGCTTGCGTTCGCGTTGGGTTGAAATGTTTCGCTGCCTCTCGTTGGACGCGGGTACGGATCAGCGTTGTGGTGTGCCGATTTGAAACGGATTGCTTCGTTCCGGTAGTAGCTTAGCTATTGTGCTATTTTGGGGGAGGATTTCATGCCGGTTTGTTCGGGGACACACATTTGGCCATGGGGGGTGGCGAGCGTTTGTTCATAAATTCCGTGCGGATTGTTTGGTTGGTGGTGCCTCTCCTATGCGCGCACCACCGTGGCTTGTAATTGTGATGTGGCATGTTTGGCCATTCGTAGACATTATGTTATATGTATGGACCATGCGCGCTTGTGGAACTATAGATGCTTGTCCATGTAAGTCTAATGCATTAATTCGTGCAATATGTTGGAGTCCATGGCAATGTCAGTTGCTGGTACTGGAATGCTCAATTAGGCTGCTTTGCTTACTTTGGTTTGATGCTCAACTCGGGGTTGTGTTTTGGGCTGCTGGCGAACGTTTTGGTCCTCCTGGACTATTGATGAACACAAATTCTCACTGCTGACATTGTCATTTGTTTGTGTACAGGACATTGCATCGTGGGGTTGTGGCTACATGGGTCTGTCCTGCGGCCATCCAATTTCCCTGTTTGCGTCGCCCCATAATGCTGCTGGTACCTTCCGAAGTTGCTTCCCTGCTGCGTGATGAGCCGGAAATCGCTCCTGTCATGAACCGAATTGAGCAGTACAATGGCCGTTTTGCTGGAGTACCTCACAGTATGATTCAGGTATACCTGCCATGTCTTCTGGATAGACCCTTCTACCTATACTAAGTGCCATTGCAGTCCGGATTACATCAGTGGAAAAGGCCTAAGTGCACTTGGTTAGAGATCAGTACATGATTTTTTTCCTTGTCTTCTTTCTCATATATAAATTTTGGACATTTTCAAATGAAATGTTACTTCATCTCTCAAAATATAACTAAACAGAGTTGTACTATTTTAGATTTGTTTGATGAAATACTGTTAATTTATCTAGATCAGTCTATAGAAGCAGTTCTATTATCTCCGCACACTTGTTCAGTCCAATGTCCTAAAAGTTGCAACAGTAACCCTTCGAATTTGCTTTCAAAATGAATCCAGGTATTGAGACTCAAATGTCTATCAGAGGGTAGTAGGGTACAGTTGAAACTTGGTTGTTGATATACTTCAGTCACACCTAACTAGTAGGGTACAATGCCGCGGCTTCGACATCTCCGTTCCCCACCAGGCCAACTGCTCCCACTGGTTCTGCGGTAAGTACCAGTTTGCCGCCTGCACCACCATTCCGCCCCCATCCCCCCTCTCTCCAACCGCTAGGTTTCTGCGACCGCGTTTGCGCCTGGGCTGCTGCGTGCGCCGCCGCGCGCTCGTGCGCTCGATTTGGTTCCTTGATTTCGTGTCCATGTGGCTAGCTTCATCGCGATGCGGGGCTTGCGTTCGGGTTGGCTGAAATGTTGCGCTGCGTCTCGGATACAGATACGGCGTTGTAGTGTGCAGATTCGGAGTGGATAGCTTAGCTCTGATAGTTTCTTAGCTATTGTGCTATGTTGAGGGAAGATTTGATGTCAATTTGTTGTGGGACATCTCGCTTTTGCCATGTCGCGCTTCATATTGTAGGGGTTTGCAGTTCCGATCAGATTTGTTCGTAAATTCCATGTGCCTTGTGCTCATGGACATTATGTTATATTTATGGACCATGTGCGCTTGTGGAACTTAAGAAGCTTGTCCATGTAGGTCTACTGCATTAACTCGTGCAGTGTTTGAGTCATGGCCATGTCAATTGCTGGTGCCAGATCTGCCTTGTTTTACCTGCTCAACTCTGAATGTTCTTTGTCAAAATAAATGCTCAACCTCACATGACTATACACTTATTTTCTTACTTCAGTTAGATTCTAGACTTGGTGCGGTGTCTGCGCTGCTGGTTAATTCGACTGCCGGCGGACATTTTGATCCCTAGACTCCTGATGAACAAAAGCCCCCTTCTGCTAACACTGTCGCATGTTATTGTTTGTATACAGGACATTGCGTCGTGGCGGTGTGGCTGCATGGATCTGTCCTTCGGCCATCGGATTGCTATGTTTCTTGCCGCCCCATAATTCTGCTGGTACTTTCTGAAGTTGCTTCCCTGCTGTGTGATGAACCAGAAATCGCTCCTGTCGTGAACTGGATCGAGCAGTACACTCCTGTCGTGAACTGGATCGAGCAGTACACTCCTGTCGTGAACTTGATCGAGCAGTACAATGGCCATTTTGCTGGAGTTACTCACAGTATGATTCAGGCATACCTGCCATGTCTTCTGGATAAACGCTTCTACATTATTGAGTGCCTTGCTGTCTGGATTACATCGGTGGAAATGGCGTAAGTGCCCTTGGTTAGAGATGAGCACTTGATTTTTATATTGGCTTCGTTGCCATGTACTGTATATAGGAGGAGTGTTGGCATATTTCAAATGAAATGCTACTTCACCTCTGAAAATATAACAGAGTTGAACTCTTTTAGATTTGTTTGAGGAACTCCTATTAATTTATCTAGATCAGTCTAATGAAGCAGTTCTATTATTTTCACATACTTGCACAATACAATGTCCTAAGAGTTGCAACAGCAGCGCTTCAATTTTTTCTTAGAAATAAATCCAGTGGATAAGACTGAAATGTCTATCAGAGGCTAGTAGAGTACAATTGGAACTCAGTTGTTGATATACTGTAGTCACACCTAACTAATTGAGCTATGTCAATTATGAGAGACAATTCTTGGTAAATTGGCTTCTGCAACATTATTTGAGTTGAGAGATTATGTTACATTGTTACTCTATGCTCATATATTAATAAGACCAGATTGTCAAGACAACTATTATGTCCAGCTAGAAAGTTGCACCCATCCATGTTAGTCCGTTAACTTAATTGAAGTATATCATCATCATCATCATCATCATCATCATCATCATCATCATCATGCTGCTATATTCAAAGCCTTGAACTTTAACCGGCTGTTATACGCCGTAGAATTGCATAGTGAAACAATTTTTTAAAGTTTTTTTTTTGCTAATTTCCTCTTAGATTTGGTGCGTCCTTTTGTCTGTGCCCATGGTAGGCTGATGTATTGAAATGAAGGGAGTTCTCATGTTTTTCCTGATTTTAACTTGCTAGTTTATTGATGTGATCCAAGATAGAAAGATTTACCAGTTACAAGTGCAAACTTTCAAGAAAGAACCATGTAACTGTTGCTCCTACATCTGATATATTTTCTTATGTCGAATTTCAGACACAGGTTTCCACTTCGATTTATGATTCAGAAAACAACTTAAGAAGCTGCCTGCAGTCAGTTCAAAGTTGCATGGTCTTAAGCATGCTATCTACATTGAGGATGAACCTGTTGAGGCCACCACACTTAAACAACTGAAACACTTGACAACATTGTCTTTTAATGCGGCCAACTCTCATGTCCGTGTTCCTGGAAATTCAAGGTAATTAACCATAGCCAAAATAGTGCTGCATACCAGAATAAAATGACTGCACCATTACATAAGAGCAAGTTATAAACACTTTAAAGTACTATTCATTCAGCTTTTCTTCTTATGTTGCTGCTTGCTACAGTTGATCATCTTTTTCCATGAAATCTTGTAGGTTCACATGTTTTTACATGAACTGTATTAATGAGTTTTGTGATGATTTTTTGGAAACTTAAAACTTCAAGACCATAATGTCTACTCTAACCTCTTTTATCAAATGGGTGCAGCTTATTTCATCAGAAAAGGCGGTTATAGGAATTCTGATTCTCCAATGCCCCGTGGAGAAGTTATCATTGGTGGTTACAGTATAACAAACGGTTATTTCAACAATGAAGCAAAAACAGATGAGGTGTATAAGGTGATTATCTCCAAATCTGCAGTCACTGAATGCATTTATGTTTTTCACTTCACGATTGTGTCGTGTGTCCCTCAGGTGGACGTGAGAGGAATATGCTGGTTTTACACTGGAGATATCGGCCAGCTCCGTCCTGATGGATGCATTGAGATCATCGACAGGGAAAAATACATAGTAAACCTCCAACATGGAGAATATATATCTCTTGGCAAGGCTTGCTTATAAATTGGGCCAAGTTATGAGCATTCTGTTTGCTGAGTAATTAACTCTCTCTCTCTCTCTGCAGTTTGAACCAGCTCTACATACAAGCAATTATGTGGATAGTATCATGGCCTATGCTGATCCATTTCATACTTACTGTGTTGCACTGGTAGTTTCACCACACCAGGCCTTGAAGAAGTGGGCTCAAAATTCAGGGATAAGCTACAAAGACATTGAGCAGCTGTGTCATAATGATCAAGCAATTAAGGAGGTCCAGCAGTCTCTATCAAAGGTTAGATTTGATCGCAAATTGATTATGTCAATGTTCCCTTCATATGATATATCACCAAACTAGGTTAGCTATCAGTTTAACCAACTTCTCTGGTGTACAAAAGCACATTTTGTACATTTGAATGGGTGCAACCAGGGTCTTAACAGTATCTGGTTTAGCTGACAATATAATACCACTGCATACTTCTGAGTTTTTGGCCATGGCAGTTGCAGATTGTAATGATGTGATGTATGCTAGTATATTGTGGTACAACCTTCTGGGGGGCAGCCAGTGGTCAGCATTCGTCACGGCCGAAGGGGAAGGATCTTAGGATAAAAACGGTTGGCATCTTGTATAATGTTAACTATTATGGTACACCTTGTATGCAGAGCCTTCTTAATTAATACCGATAGGAAAATCCAAATATTTCCCAACTGATATGGACTAGTAGAGCTGACCCTGGATCTTGGCAGTATGACAGCGATGATGACGGTGGCTGCCCCCAGGCACTGGGTCGAAGAATTAAACATTAGTTCAGTTCTTGCTTAATTAGGGCGCATAAAATACTCGTATATGTTGAAGATGTAGTCATCTAACCATCTATCCCAAAAGGCAGATCTGATAGGAAGAGAAGATATAATATATCTACCCCTCTCCCCATGCCCGACGTGGATAAATGATTGGGGAAATGCGGGGACCAAGACTTGAACCCCAAGACCTTTGGTCTGATTCCATGTTAAGATATAGTCATCTAACTGTCTATCCCAAAAGACCGATTTGATAGGAAGAGGAGATATAATATACTTAACAGTTCACAGGATATAGTTCTCTAGTTTATTCAAATTATGTAGCCGGTATGGGTGTGTGGCCTCATTTTAGCGGTTACATGGTAATCAGCCTTTTAGAAGTTCTTTCTGGAACAGGACCTCGTGAGCAGTTAGTGTCGCTGACTTAGTACAACTTTGTACTAAGTCAGCGACACTTATTTTGGGACGGAGGGAGTATGATCACTAATAAAATGCTATAATGCATGTCTGGATCTAACTCCGCCTATGTTGTCTCAGTATAGCTGGTCCCAAGTCCGGGTAAAGGAGGAGGGTTGTGATAGGCTTGGCGACCCAACGTCAAAACTCAGCCAAACATCAGTTAGTGGTAAGCAGGAATTACTCTGTTGTCTCATCCCTGTTTTCCTCCCTCGTGCCCTTAACCCATGCCGATTTCCCAGGCACCACAGCCTGCCTTACCACAGTCTACTGCACAATAGCGTGCATCTGAGTGTTTTTTTTTGGGCATGTTACTGTGTTCTGTCTGGTTTCAGTTGTGGGCAACCGTGTTGCTGATAAATATGACCCTGTGGACTGAGGTTCTGCAGACTTGTAGCAAATTAGGTGCTAAACTCAAGTTTTATGATTGAAACGAAGATATTGCATTGTCCTAAGCTATGTTCTGTATTATTGTTCATGATAACAATATCCTATTTAAGTACTCTTCATGCCAGCAGCAGATTCACAATTCACCTGCCCTGTTTGCAGTGCTCTTGTCTGTTGTCTAATGCAATGTGTTCCAACTGTGCAGGGCACAAAAGCAGAAAGGCTTGAGAAGTTCGAAATACCTGCTAAGATCGTCTTTTGCCTGAATGTTGGACGAGTCTGGCTTGTGACTAAGAGGGAGAAGCTAAAGACTAAATTTCAAGATGATCTGAAGAAGCTCGATCACTGACCTGCAATTCACGGTAACTCCTTTCTCGAACTGTCTTTCGCCATCCGTTTGCCCTGTTTGCCGTCACCCCATAAATCTGCTGGTACCTTCTAAAGTTGCTTCCCTGCTGCCTGATGAACCAGAAATCGCTTCTGTTGTGAACCGGATTGAGCAGTACAGTGGGTGTTTTGCTGGAGGTCCTCACAGTATGATTCAGGTAAACCTGCCATGTTTTCTAGATAAACCCTTCTATGTATGTTGAGTGCCATGAAGTCTGGATTACATCAGTGGAAAAGGCCTAAGTGGCCTTGGTTAGAGACCATTACATGATATTTTTCTTGACATCTTTGTCATGTTGGTAGGAGCTAGGGTTCTACCGGGTCTAGGCCGGAGATTGTAGGGGAAGGAGGGAGTAGGGCGCGGGTGAGCACGCGTCCGCCGGCGGCTGGGCGCCGTCGTGCGCGTGGAGGAGGCGGCGGTGGTGAGAGGAGGCGGCTAGGGTTTAGGGTTCCGGCTCCTCTGGGAGCCGGGCAATAGAATTGTCTTATTGCTTAATCTGAAAAAGAGTCTTACAGCTTGTTTATATAACCACGAAAATAAGATAACTTGTGGGCTAAGCCCCTAACTAAACCTGCCCGGTGGGCCTCCTACGGGTATAAGTTACCCCGGTCATAACATCTCTCCCCGCCTGCGCAAACAACTCGTCCTCGAGCTGGAAGTTTGGGTAGTGTTGGCGGAACTCGTCGCGCTGCTCCCAAGTAGCCTCCTCCTCCGGAAGGCCAGCCCACTGGATCAACACGTACCACACCCTGCGACGTAGCTTGGCCTGCAACACCTTCTCGGGTCCCGGAAGGAGGCGCCCGTCGGAGGTCGGAGGAAGCGCGGGGGTGGCCGCCGGGGGCTCCCCACGAAAGGGCTTTAGCAGCCCCACATGGAAGACGTCCTGGATGCGAGCATCGGCCGGAAGCTGAAGGCGGTAGGTCACCTTCTCGATGCGCTCCAAGATGGCAAAGGGCCCGGCGTAGTGAGGGCCCAGCTTGCGCTTCGCGCATGGGTCTAGGGACTGCGTAGAGCGGTGAAGAAGACGCAACCACACCCAATCGCCCACCGCGAACTCAGCCTCGCGATGGTGGCAGTCGTAGTAGTGCTTGGCCAGCTGCTGGGCCTGAATGAGGCGCTGCCGGACCTCCGCAAGCATCTCGTCGCGGCTGCGAAGAAGATCGCCCGCCGCCTCCGTCCGAGCCGTCGCCGGGTCAACCGGTAGGTGGGCGGAGGGGGGCGGCCGTAGACCACTTCAAATGGCGTGGCGCGCAGGGTGGAGTGATAGGAGGTGTTGTAGCAGTACTCTGCCCACGCGAACCAATCCACCCAAGCGCGAGGACGATCACCTGTGACACAACGTAAGTACATGGCAATCACCTTGTTGACGACCTCGGACTGGCCGTCCGTCTAAGGATGGAAGGCCGTGCTCAGGCGGAGCTTCACGCCCGCCAACCAGAAGAGATCGCGCCAGACATGCTCGTGAACACCGGGTCCCGATCGCTGACGATCGAAGCGGGAAACCCGTGGAGGCGGACGATGCTGTCGAAGAAGGCATGGGCCATGGACGCGGCAGTGTAGGGATGGCCGAGCGCGATGAAGTGAGCATACTTGGAGAAGCGGTCGACCACCGTGAGGATGACGGACTTGCTGCCCACCTTGGGGAGGCCCTTGATGAAGTCCATGGAGATATCCGCCCAGACCTGAGACGACACCTCCAAGGGCTGTAGCAGACCAGCCAGCCATAGTATCTCTGTCTTGTTGCGCTGGCATGTCACACAAGACCGCACCCAGTCCCGGACCAGGGCCCGATCACCGGGGATATAGAAGTCGGTGCGGAGACGATGTAGGGTTTTCTGCACACCCTCGTGGCCGGCCGAGTGGGCCAGCAGCAGAACCTGATGACGGAGGTCGTCGTGCGTTGGCACGAAGATACGACGCCCATGCAGGAGGAGGCCATCGGCGAGGTGCCACGGCTCCTCCAGGTTGCCCGCAGCAAGCCTCTGCAGAAGGAGCAGAGCGTCCGGCGCGGCCGCGGTGGTTCGTCGGATGTCGGCGAAGAGGGCGAAAGAGGGCCCTGTGCGGATGCATAGCATCGCCCCCTCGGAGTCGCCGACGGTGGGGTCGTGGTCCGCGTCGCGGCCAGGGCGTCGGCCACATTGTTAAGGCCGCCCGGACGATACTCGACGGTGAAGTCAAAGCCAAAGAGCTTGCTGATCCACTGATGCTGCGGCACGGTAGACAACCTCTGGTCCAATAAGAACTTGAGGCTGTAGTCATCCGTGCGAATCCGGAACGAGCGCACAACCTGCACCAAGCCAATGAGCTCCTGCTCATAAGCCGCAAGCTTAAGATGGCGCGCGGCGAAGACCATGTTAAAGAAGGCGAGAGGGCCATCGCCCTGATGAAGGACGGAGATGAACCCCGGACCAGAGGCGTCGCAGTCCACCACAAACGGGCGGTGGAAATCCGTCATCTGAAGAACGGGCCCCGTCGTGAGGGCCTCCTTGAGGGCCTCGAACGCCGCCGTCGCCTCCTCATCCCAGGCAAAGGCGTCGCGGCGCAGCAGACGCGTGAGCGGTGACGCGATGAGGCCGAACTCCCGGATAAATTTCCGGTAGTACCCCGCGAGGCCCAGGAAGCCGCGAAGAGCCCGCGGTGAGTTCGGTGTCGGCTAGGCCGCGACGGCCGCCACCTTGTCGGCGTCCATAGCAACCCCCTCGGCCGAGATGACGTGGTCGACGTAGGCGACTGAAGGCGTCCCGAACGAGCACTTCGAGCGCTTAAGATGAAGATGGTGTGCCCGAAGCTCGTTGAAGACGATGGCGACGTGTTGAAGGTGCTTCGCCCACGAGGCGTTGTAGATAAGAATGTCATCGAAGAAAACGAGCACAAACCGACGCAAGTAGGGGTGGAGGACGTCGTTCATCAGAGCCTGGAAGGTCGCCGGGGTGTTGGAGAGGCCAAAAGGCATCACCAAGAACTTGAAGTGGCCGTGATGAGTTTGAAACACCATCTTGGCAACATCGTCCGGGTGCATCCGCACCTGGTGGTAGCCCGATCGGAGGTCGAGCTTGGTGAAGAAACGCGCCCCATGGAGCTCGTCCAGGAGCTCGTCGACCACCAGAATAGGAAACTTGTCCTTGAGCGTCAAGGCATTAAGAGCGCGGTAGTCGATGCAGAAGCGCCACGTGTCGTCCGACTTGCGGGCGAGGAGGACCGACGCCGAAAACGGCGACGTGGAAATCCGGATGATGCCCAAGGCGAGCATGAGCACGCACTGCCGCTCCAGCTCGTTCTTCTGCAACTAGGGATAGCGGTAGGGGCGCACTGCAACTGGCGCCGTGCCCGGCAGGAGATGAATGCAGTGATCATACACCCGGGCTGGCGCAAGGCCCTGAGGCTCGTCGAAGAGGTCGCGGTGCTGCTGCAGGAGGTGATCCAGCAAGGGATGCTCGAGCTCGGTGGCAGCCGCGGCCAACTGAAGCTGCGGCGTCGCCGGAGAGGCGCCACCCACACCCTCCCACCGGACGCGGCGACCCTGGCGCCAGAAGGTCATCGTCAGGGCGTCGAAAATCCAGAGGATGGGACCAAGGGTCCGCAAGAAGTCGACGCTGAGAATGAAGTCGAAACAGCCCAAGTCGATGCCCGCGCACGTGATGGTGAAGTGCTCGTCGCCGATAGTGATGGGCACGTTCCGTGCCAGCCCATGACACCGTAGGCGGTCGCCGTTAGCCATCGTGACCCGAAGTTGCTCCCCGCCCGTCGGTTGAAGCGCTAAGCGGCGCATGGTAGCCTTAGGCAGGAAGTTATGTGTGGAGTCCGTATCCAAGAGGACCACCAGGCGCTCGCCGTGAATCATCACCGGCAAGAGCATGAGGGGAGGAGACCATCTCCCATTAGTATGCACTCTGGAGGAAACATATGCTGATTTAATTTGGGTTCATTCAGTAGCAAGTGCACTGGCTCTTCTAGCCACTTCCTTTGGATTTTGCACAGGTTCACCTCTAGAGGCAGAATTTCTCTCCCGCCACAGCTCATATAACATTCTAATCTACTATATCTAAATAGAGGACCCCCACTACTAGGAATTCTCTAGCTTCTCCTTAAGCCACATCACCTCAATTAGTTTTAACCATTGATTCAAGGCACGCATGATAGATATCCATGCGATTTGCAACCTTACTGGATTAAGGGGAGGTCATCCGTTGATAAAACCTGGAAGAGGTTCAACATCCAACTCATCTGGTCTCGTCCTTCTCTGCTCTTTTCAGAAAGTAGTGGCCATTTTTTGTTCCAGAGATGCTCCAGCTCCAACCAAGCTTCCTTCACATAACAGCAATCCCAAAAGCAATGTATGAAAGATTATTCGCTGCAGCAGTAGGGGCATTTTACATTGAGCTTAATCTTTCTTCTAGCCAACTCGGCTCCGATCGCCACACTCAGATGGGCAACCTGCCATGCATGGATCTTCATTTTACCCGGGACATCACAACTCCATAAATTAAGCCATCCCTTGTGTGCATAAGATGAAGATCCACCCTTCCTGGCCAAATGTACCACCAAATCATTAAACCTCCTACCTTTGTATGCAGATTTGACAGAGAAAATACCATTAGATGTGTAATTCCACGCTAGGTAGTCATTTCCTGCCCAATTCCCCATCCCTGTCCAGTTCCACGCTCGGTAGTCATCTCCTGCAGTTTTTTGCGGCTTTAAGAAAACTAATGTGCTTGAAATATCTAGCTTTTAACACTCTTGCAGACAGAGTATCAGGGCATGTTAGCATTCTCCATCCCTGTCTAGCCAACAGCACCTGGTTAAAGGCCTCCATTTCTCTGAAGCCTACACCGCCCAAACATTTATGCCTTGCCATCTTCTCCCAGTTGATCCAGTGAACCTTCTGTTGTCCCTTGCTTGATCCCCACCAAAATTTGGACATAACAAAGGTGAGTTGTTTACAAATAGATTTGGTGAAGGCA